AGGCCGCAGGCCGCAGGAGGAGCCGGGTCGGGAGGCCTGCGCTCTGCAGCCTGGCTGCCCGCGCATCCTGCTCAACGCCCCGCGCAGCCGTTTGACCTCCGCCTCGCCTCCCTGCCTCATCTGCAGACGCAGGTAATTCCCACAGAACTCGCCTCGTGGGGCTGTTGGCAGGAATGAAATGAACTGAGACACTACGTGTGTGCACTTGAGTATATGTACATATTAAACTATACATACATATAAAATACATTTGTATACCTATACACTATATAATTATATAGGTATAATATGTAGTATGTGATGACACAGGTATATAATGTATATTAAATTAGGTGTATATATTGTACATGTACCTAGCACATAGTGAGCACCAGTGTTAGCCTCATTTTATATTTCAGTAGGCAGCTTCTATGAATTATTAATTTTTAAGTACATCTTTCATTCAAACAGGAGAAAGTCACACCTTTGGGGTTTTTGTTAACTTTTTATAGGCTACTTCTCGGACAGTGTCACTTAACGGCCACCCCCTGAAGAAGGAACTCCTTCCACCAGACCCCATCTAAGGCTCGTTTCTCCCCAGGGCTCTGCTCTGGCTGCAGCTTGCTGCCTTCTCCGCGTCCAGCAGCTACCTGGGTGGTGAGTGCCCCCCGTCCTTGCACTCCACCCAATCCTTGGCATTCCAGTGTGCCCGGCCTGGAGTGGAGGCAGCCTACTGTCTGGTTACGTGAAGGGGATGCCCACCAGCCGTGGACAGAGAGGAAACCCTGTCAAGAGTGAACCCAGGTTTAGAGGGTCTAAATCTTATAAAATTTTTGAGATTCTCTTTAATGGGAAAACAATACAAGAATATCTTATTTTTGCTATTTATATAAAAACATATGAACACATCAGTAGTTCCCCTCCCAGTGCCTTAGGAAAGACCAGGCCCTGGCAAGTGAGGGGTACGGAAGCTTAATTTCCTTTAGTTTCAGGGTAAATTTCCCCTTGGCCTTATATGGGATAAAGTAGGACGTACGTCGGGCACCCTTTCTAACCCTAATCCCTTGGACAGAGCTGCTCAGACCCCTCCAGGAGGCAGTAACCGGGCCCCAGAGATTTTAGGACGGTCTCTATTCCAAACAGTTCATCAGACTATGTGTCCAGTGACGCATCTCGACTCTTCAAAACATACAGGTGATAATGCACAGAATGGAAGTGTGAAAGACAAAGCAAACAAAGCCCAAAAATAAACACCAAACCAATGCTCACCCCAAATGAGTACAAACAGGGACAGAACTAGCAATTGTTTTCTGTGGATGTTTTGTTTCCTGTCTCAGAACAGAAAGAAAGAAAGAACCCAAGAAAGACAACAACAGCGCACAGCCTCTGCAGGGCACAGAAGTTTCCACCCGCTAAGACAACAGCAGGAATCTTCCCGGAATCATCTTCCCTGACTGGGCACTAATAATTATGTTGCCAAGAAAATCTTGTCTCCTTAGACTTATGTAGGACAGGAAGGAAAATGTAGCCAGAAAGGTCAAGTTGAGTCCAGAAGACTGGAGAATCTCCTTCTAGTCACCGCCCTCAGCTTTCCATTGCATGGTAACCAGACTCAAAATTTCAGAGCAAAATATGGAAGCGGCTGTGCTGCGTAGGCCTCCCAGGCCCAGAGACTCGGGCAACTGCTCCACTGACCTCCGAGGGGCTGTCAGAAAACAGATGTGCAGGGAAAAGCTGCTCGCCGGGCACTTATGAGTCATCGTGAGGAGCAGGGAAGAGGTGTTCACTTTGCTTTCCAGGAGACGCTCGACATCTGAAAGGCAGGTGACACAACCTAGCGCTTCCAGGGGGTAGCAAGTGCATTCGCTGCCTGTTCAGCGACAGTAATAGTGATCATAGTAACCGTCAGAACTACTCCTTATTGGGACATATGCTTTAAATATTTTCTCATTGAATCCCCATAGCAACTCTATCAACATTACTAATTTACCTACAAGGAAACAGACTTAGAAATGTCAAGAAACATACCCGATGTCATACAGCTAGTAAGTGCCAAAGCTATGCTTTCCTGTCTCCTTTAATGGGCAACAGAGGGGTTGCTGAGCAATTAATTCAAGAAGAAAAAAAGCAAAATTCAGTTGAACATTTCCACGAAGATTAGCCAACCGCTGCTTAGTGGTGTCAACAGAAACTGCTCCGGGCCAAGCTCCATTCCTTCACCAGTCCCAGCATCAGAATCACCTACTCACTTACAAAAAAGGCCAATCCTTAGGCCCATCCCAGACTTACTGAGTCAGAATCTTCTGAGATGGGGCCTAGGAATGCTCATTTTACATGCCCCCCACACCTAACACCCCCAGGAAACTCTGCTGCACAGTCAAGTTTGAGAACAGCTTCTTGTGGATGACAAATCTCTTGGGTCACCTGGAAGACCCAGTTTATACCTGTTGTCCTGGCATAAATAGCAGTAGTGCCCCCCTTTATTGTCATAAGTGTTCCATTTTAGACAATTTGCATGTATATATTCCTATATTTTTTGTACCAAAATCAGGCCATGCTGTACATGCTATTTTATAACCTGGATCTTTTATCTAATGATTTCTACTTTTCCGTGTAAATAAAATTTTGTCTCTTCTAATACCAGTCCATACTCAGATTTCCTATACATCTGGTTTAATCAATCCACACATTGCAGTATAATAGTTTTCTCTTCTAAACTAATAACGGTTTCCCTCTCTCTTTATAACACTGACTTCTTATTAAGTAGGCCAGGCCAGATGTGCTAGGGCTGTGCCATCTTTTGGATTTTTCTGGAGACTTATGATTAATTACTTTGTTCCCTCATTTTCTATATTACTTATCATTGGAGATTAAAGTTTGATGGAGTCAAGCTTGACTATACACCACAGGGAATGCAGCGGACCTCATCTCTGTATCACATCAGGAATCAACATAACCTCTGGTTGACCTGCCGTCAGTGAAGCTAAGATCAACCACTTGGTGAGGGTAATGACTTTCTGATCCCCTGTTGGGGCAGTTACATGTTTTCCCTTGCAACTAGGAAGAAATCTCTATGTATCACTTTGGCTCTACATGAACCGTTTCCCATCGACCATACACCTAATGCTTTTAAGGCCATTGATAATTGTTACCTGACTGAAGGGTTTTGCTAATTATATCAATCCCACTACATTCTTTGCAGATATTGTTTGGTAAAAGAGAAATTTTTCCTCATCACTTTGGGCTGTTTTCTCAGAAGTAAAAAAAGTTTCTATTGGAAAGGCAAGTTAAATGTTTTTCTTTTCCTTTACCATTTTCAAACTAAGGAGCTGCTAGTTCAATAGCCACTTGAGTCCAATTCCTGGAGTCCTTTTGCAGTATCTCCGTTAAGAGTGTGAGCGCCTAAAAGAAGTCTAGTGGTTGTAGAACTAAACAGTGCTGTAAAGTGTGGCCACACTGCAGACATGATTGGCAACGAGAAATATTCCACTGAACACAGCAGCCATGGAAGTGTTGACCTACGCTGACTGCTTTGTTCACATCTGGCCCTCCAGCCACAGTCCTGCACTGCACTTGTCTGAGCTCAGGCAGTTCTTGAACTAAGAGCACTTAGTTCAGGGTAGAACATTCTGTTCTCTCAGTAAAGAGCTTTCATTAAGCAGAGGCAGAGCTGTTCTAGTTAATGGGTTCTCAACAAACAGGGGCACTGTACCAAGCGGTGGGGCAATGACTGTGTTCTGACTTTCACATGTGGTGTAGGGCTTTAAAAAGGGTATTCCCAAGGGAACATACATGATACACTGTGGCACGTTCAACCACCTCTCTCATCTCACATGCTCTTCCTACATGGTGAGAGGTGGGGGGTGTGCCCTTCCCTGGAACCTGGGGAGGCTGTGGCACTGCAGATGCCACCATTTGTTTATTCTGTCACTTGCTGATGGGCATTTGGTTGTCTCCAATTTGGGGATATACATATATTTTACAAATGAAGCTGCTGTGAACATTGGTGTACAAGTCATTGGATGGACATACACTTTTTCTCTGGGAGTAAATGGCTGGATATGGCAGGTGTGTGTGTGGTTTGACGTTTAGGAAACTGTCAAATTGTTTTTGCAGAGTGTTGTACCATTTTACATTTCCGCCGTAAGTATTTGAGAGTTCTAGTTCCTCCACAGCCTCACCAACATTCAGTATGGTCAGTCCCCTTCGTTTTAGCCATTCTAATGGTATGGAATGGTCATTTCCGTTTCCCTAATGACCAGTGGTGTTAAGCATCTTTGCATGTGCTTATCAATCATTCACATAACTTCTTTGGTGAAATGACTGTTACAATCTTGCTAAGTTTTAATAGAGTTTTCTTAAGTTTTGAGAGTTCTTTGTATTTTCTAGATACAAGTTCTTTATCAGGTGTACACATTGCAAATGTTTTCTCCTAGTCCATGGCTTGTCTTTTCATTCTCTAAGTTTTTAATTTTGATAAAGTCCAATTTATGAGTTTGTTCTTTTATAGATCATGCTTTTGGTATAACAACTAGAAAATCCTTACCTAACCCAAGGTCACAAAGATTTTTCTATGTTTTTGTCTGCAAGATTTATAGTTTTAACTCTTCCACTTAAGTCTATGACCATCTTGAATTAATCTTAGTATACGGTACAGGATATGAAGTTCTTTTTTGCATATGTATACCCAATTATTTCAGCAACATTTGTTGAAAAGATTTTCCATTTGCTACTAAATCCTTTTAATCTTTGTAAAAAAAGTCATTGTATGTGTGGATCTATTTTTACACTCTTTATTGTTTCACTGATGTAGTTCTATCTTATACCACCAACCACTGTCTTGATTACTATAGCTGTATAATTTTTGAAATGAGGTAGTTTTAGTCCAACTTTGTCCTTTCAAAGTCCTCTTGGCTACTCCTGGTCCTTTACATTCCATGTGACTTTTTTGAATCATGCTATAAATTTCAACCTAAAGAAAGAAATCCCTGCTGGGGTTTTTGTAGAGAGTGCATGAAATCTACAGATCAATTTGGGGAAAATGGACATTTTAATTGAATTGAGTCTTCTGACTCATGAGCAAGAATCCCTCTCAATTTATATTTTTATGCTATTGTGGTATCTTAAATATATTGTTTCTTAAATATATTTGTTAGTACTCATTGACTTAATTTTGATTTCTTAATTTCTTAGGGTTCATTATTCCGAAGGCCATGGCAGTGTGTGTGCTTTGGAACCCTCAGGGTTGGAATACTGGTTCTACCTCTTAATGGCTGAGCAATCTTGGGAAGGTTACTTTAAATTTCCCATCTTTGTAATGATGGTACCTACCACATCGGACTGTCAGAGAATTACATGACATGTTTATTTATTTATTTAAAATATGTCTTTATTGATTTCAGAGAAGGGAGAGGGAGAGAGAGAGAGAGAGAAACATCAATGATGAGTCATTGATGGGCTGCCTCTTAAACACCTCAGACTGGGGATCGAGCCCAAAACCCAGGCATGTGCCCTGACCGGGAATTGAACCGGGGTCTCCTGGATCCTAGGTCAGTGCTCAACCGCTGAGCCACGCCAGCCGGGCCACGACATGTATATTTAGCAGGATGCCTAACATGTATAAACATTCAATACATGTTCGCAGTTAAAACTTAACTATTGAATGAGGAACCTTTTCTTATCTCAGTTAAATTTCGCCTGATTGTCCAAAGCCTATGAGACAGTTTTTAATCTTGATTCTGTGGCCTTCAGTATTACTTCCTTTTAGTGTTATCTTCCCCTTGATAAGCAAACTTAGTCCCTCATCTCAGTCACGAGGTCAAGCTGTGGCTTTGGCAGCAATGAGGGCAGCTCTGTCTGTGAAAACAATTCCATGCGGGAGACCCTATCTCCATGGGTGAGGCGTTGAAAGGGGAAAAGTACCAAGGTTCTTGCTGTTATGGAGTTCACACTCTTTCACAAATGAGAAAAAAAAATGTCACTGCAAGGTACCCAAGGCCCACTCGATGACAAATTAGTTAAGTGGATAAATGAGATAAAGGAGGTATTAACATCCCCATTTTGTTGAGGCTCATATAAGTAACAAAGGGCAGAGCAAGGCCATGAACCCAGAATTTCTTACTCCAAATCCTATTCTCCTTCCCCCTCAAAACTCTTCCTTCTAAGGGTATGGAAACTAAAACGGAATATAGCTCCCTATGAACTGGATGGGCACACCGCTGCTTCCTACACCTCAGACAGAGGCCCAGGAGGGGACAACTAAATCTTGGGCCTTTAATGACCGAAAAACTACTTCACTAGAAGAAGCTGAGAAACCGCCTTGGCCAGGTGCTCAGCTGGCTGGAGCATCACCCGCACACCAGAGGGTGGCAGGTTCCATTCCCAGCTGGGGCGTGTGCAGGAGGCAAGATTGATGTTTCTCTCTCTCTCTCTTTCTAATCAACGAAAAGCATATCCTCCGGTGAGAATTTTTTTTAAATGTAAAAAAAAGAAACAGGAAAAAAACTTGGAACTCTTCAGCCTAGAAATGTTGTGCCTCAAGAGAAAAAACCTCCATGAAATCCGGCCTGACAGAACCAAGACTGACGGGCACTGTTGCTGTGATCCAGGCGGCGCCTTTCACACCCCTGCTAGTCCTTCCCCACAGGGCAGAAATGTGTCAACTCTAAGCTTCTATGAAGCAGCTCCAGCCAGAAAAGTCAGGCAGTCTTCATCACAGGGAGCTCCTATAAAGTATTATAAGTTGATCATTAGGAATTAAATTGTGTTTTCCCATTGTTTCCCACTTCCCAGCAGTATGATGGGAGCATTACATCAGATCACAAATACAGCCACCATTCTGCTAAAATCCAGTATGACTTCAAACCTCCATTTTCACAGAAAAGGGTCCATGTGTATCACATCCCAACTGTACAAGAGATCTCCATTCACTATGCGTAAACAAATATACATAATTTGTATGTATCTAATACTAGAAGTAAAATTCTATCATAAACTTCTCTTTAAATAAATTTAACTTTGCCTGCCTTTAGAATTTAGAAGGGCTTTTATTGATATGAGCCAAGTCTTGAAAGAAAGAAAGGAAAAAAGAGAAAGAGGGAGGGGAGAAGGAGGGGGAGGGGAAAAGGGAAGGAAAAATGCTGTCCAGAATAAGTTGCTGGATTTTCTATTACCTGAGCTCTACTTACCTATAAAATCCTTTGTATTGTTGAAAAATTCTCAAAGGAGCAACTGACCAGGCATTTGAAATGGCCATGATTGGGTCGGGGCAGCCTGTATTTCCTATTTGTACTGAGTATCACCAAAAGTACTCTTAAACATATTTCGTTGTGAGATAAGCAGGTCAGATGTTACCTTTCTCATTTTATATAAAAGGACTCTAAAGTTAAAAGTTCCCTTCAATGACCTGCTCAGCCACACAGCTCGTCAGCCGGCAGAGCTGACTGGTCAGGTCCTACAAGTCCTAGTATCCTACTACAGGGCCACCTCAGCGTTAGTGAGACTCAGTCTTGACTCATCCAAAATGACCAGAACGAGTTGTCTGTCCCTTCTTAACTCCTGTATTACCTTGGGACATACATAAATTGTGCCTTAACTGAAAAATGCCACTTTCCTACAGTATATCCAATTGCTTGTCTG